TTTAATTATTGTAATTTATATCCTCAGTTATTATGGAAAATTTTTATAAAAGTATTGTTTACATAAAAAAGATTATATGAACTACTACTTATTCCCTCCTCTATGTCAAATATGGACTTTAATTAAACTCTAATATTTTAGAACACTTAATGTTTTGAGACTTTTGTTACTTATGTGACATTATAACTATTATTCTTCACTCTTCTAGTGAATTTTTAATGTCATTCAAAGGGTACATCTTTCTATACTGAGAATTAAACATAGCTCTCAAAGTATTCTTCTGAGATATTTAGAAGCTCATTCACAGTATTCCACCTTCCACTGGCATGTTCTCCTTTCCATCTAATGCATACTTCCCCCCACAAAGTCCCCATGTTATACTCCTTATTCACCCTCCATTCAAGATGTGATTTTATTTATTTATTGAGATAAAGTCTTACTCAGTCTGTCGCCCTGGCTACAGTGCAGTGACATGCTCTCCCCTCACTGCAATCTCTGTCTCCCAGGTTCAAGTGATTCTCCTCCTTCAGCCTCCTCAGTTGCTGGGATTACAGGCATTTTCCATCATGCCTTGCTAATTTTTGTATGTTAAGTAGAGACAAGGTTTTACCGTTTTGGCCAGGCAAGTCTTGAACTCCTGACCTCAATTCATCTGCCTTCCTAGGCCTCCCAAAATGCTGGGATTACAAAAACAGCAACTAAATCCTGGAATGATGACTGGGAACTTGCCTAGAATCTACAGTGATTATCCTCCTTATAACAAAGCAGAAAGCCTCCCTCAGAATTATCTGGGCTGTCATCACTCATTGTCCAGACCTGTTAACAGACTCCTGTAACCCAGAGCTGAGAGTCTCAGATGTGCTCCTCCAATAATGAAGTAGAAGGCCTGAGATTCCACGTAATAGTATCCTTGAGTCCCTGGAGATTTTTAAGTTTCAAGAATACATAGATCCTATGAACTTTATGGTTTCTAAATCTCAGATTATGTGAGGTGTTTGGACAAAGTAACTTCAATGGTGATATCCACCATTGGATATCAATATAAAGAAAATCGACATAAAGAATCAATATCAGAAAATCAATATAAAGAATTATAATCTCAAAGTCCAGAATGAGAAAAAGATGTTTTCATATAGCATCCTTGTAACTGTCTGATTTTTCTGTAGATATAAGTACTAGAGGACAAGCTTTGCCTGCTGTAGCTGGCCTAGACATATGTAGATGTATTAATTGTGGAAGGAAGAATTATGCCTTTCGGGATGCCTACATAAAATATTGAGTTGCTGATTTGAGACAAGTTCTCACTCTGTCACCCAGTTTGGAGTGCAATAGCGCAGTCAGAGCTCACTGCAATCTCAGACTCCTAGACTCAAGCAATCCTCCCAACTCAGTCTCCGGAGGAGCTGGGACAACAGGTGCACACCACCACGCAAGGCTAATTTCCTTTTCCGTTTTGGTAGACATAAAGTCTTACTATGTTGCCCATGCTGATCTCAAACTCCTGGCCTCAAGTGATTTTTCTGCCCTTGGCCTCCCAAAGTGCTAAGATAATAAGTATGGCCACTGTACCCAGATTTAGATCACATTTTTTAATACACATAGCTGTCCAACTAAAAATATTTTATTACAATTCTCTTAATTCAGCAAAGCAATATTGTTACTGACCCAGTCTTCACTTAATTTCAGATTACATACAAGAAGACAATTACCTTTATTTTTAATCTTATGTTTTATTTTATATTTTCAATATGTTGTTTGAGATACATATACATAATGAAGTGATTACTATAATCAGGCAGATTAACAAACCCATCATATCACTTAGCTATGCTTCTTTTTTATGATAAGAGCACCAAAAATCTGGTCCCTCAGCATATTTCCCAATACAACATAAGATTATAAAAATACCTACAGGTTGTACATCAGACTCATTTATTCTACATTATTGCACCTTTACAACTTTTGCCCTTCATCTACCCATTTTCTTCCTACCACTCTAACCAATGTAATCACCTTTCTACTTTCTGTTTCTATGTATTCAATTTTAAGAATGGATTTCAAATACGAGTGAGGCCATAAAGAATTTTTCTCTGTGTCTGTCTTATTTCACTTAGGACAACTACCATTTCCATGTCTCCTAAATTTAGTACAGAAATAGAGTACTAGTCAAGGATATGTCTCAGTTTTGTTAGATTATTTTTTCCTATTTACTCTCTTTGTCAATTTTTTTCTTTTTTCAATTAGAAGAATCAAAATTCTTGAATTAAAAATCCTGTAACCGGGCTATTGATAAATAATTTGTTTTATGGATTAAAAACCCAGGAAGTTCAAGATTTCTGAGTTAATGATTGACAATGTTCTTAGTGGTCTCTCTTTATTTCAATTGTAAGTGAGTCTTGGTGATAATCTAACATAAATCCTGAATGGTGAAGAGAATAAATAAATTAGGTGTCCCTAGGAGCATCAATAGAATAAGAATCTCTTGGTTAAATGGCAGAGAAAATATGCTAAATAGATACAGAAACGCTTTCATCTTCCAAAATCTGAGTCAACTACTAAATGACTGTAAAGTCTTGAATTCTGTCTTTCTGTAAAAGTATATCTAAGCTAAATTAGAAGAATGTCAGTGATTTTTTTTTTTTTTTTTGAGAACTAGGAACAAATAAGATAATTAAAGTAGGCGGCATTGACTGTTGCCTAGAGAAGTTTTAGCATCAACAGAAAAGCTCAGGAAACACAGGTGAAAATCAGAAAGGAGTGCTGGTTTGAAGTTCTAAGGGGAATAATTTCATCATCTCAAATCACTTGGAAAAAAGCAGCAAGTCCAAAGGAAGCCGGTGATAAGCTTTCTCTCTGCGAACTCCTGCTATGCTGCATGAACTATGTGGAGGGAGAAGAGAGACAGTTCATATAGAATCTATATGGTATGGAGTAAAAGAATCAGAGCCCATTTCTGATAAGTATTTTCAAAATTTGGAGAATTATTCATATCTAAATCATCCATTGAAAGGACTAAATACAAGTCAGATGTTTCCTTCCACCTAGCCCTCAGCTAGCCAGGGTCTGAAAAGGAAAGCACCACGCAGCTTGATGGTCATAAAAAGCAGGGTTTACCCACTCTTCAATACTACTAAGACCTGTTGCTAAACTTCAGCAACACCCTATCTTTTTTGTTGAGGTTCTGCTTTGTTTCACTGAACCAATCTCTTGGGTCATTTTCTGTTGTGCCAGTCATTTAATTTTTTTCTAAACCAAATGATAAAAATAAATATTTTTTGTGTGTAGACAGCATTCCCAGATATATCTCACAACTTGATGTGCCACATGTCTAATTTTGAAACGACACGGTGGGAACAAAAGTATTGTGAAAAACACCAGGTCATTTCCTTAAAGCCAAATGCTCTTGTCCCTCCTACTTTTCTTCCTTCAGGTTTTCTGTGTGTGGGACATGGCATAAATGGCAGTTTCTTGCACACAGGGATAAAATTCAGTTGTTAAAGATGCCAATCTTCTTAACCAACTCCTATACTGCTCCAAACAGGTGAGAGGAATGCACCCTCTCAATCATTTCAAATTTGAGGTCTTTGTCAGAACAGACAAGCTGGTGCCTTAGGAGACATAGCTATTACATTCTATTTTACAATTTTCCGTTCTATATCATCTAGATTCTTATTTAAAATGTCAATTAAGTTTGTTCTTTCTACTGCATAAGGAGGTTGATACCACTTTATGCTCAGTAAGGAATTAAATGTATATGTCAGTTTTAATAATGACAGTCTCTAAGTCCTGTTCTTGTTCCCCATCATTTTACATAGGAAACTTCATCTTTCAGTAGTTTATACTTAAAAACCTAAGACAATTGAAATCAACCCTATAGAAAAAAAATGTTGCTGTAAGTATTTTAAACCCTAATAGTTTTATCTTTGGTTCTGAATCTAAAAATAGGTCTATTTGTTATCTTTTGATAGCTATTCATTAGCGTGTTCTATTCTATTTTGTTACTTAAATTTTGGAAAATTTCTTAATGTTAGAATAATATTTGTACATATTAATTCCTCTACTTATCCATTTATTCATCTTATTTATTCTGTAATCTATTCTAAAAATTGCATTGGATAACGGTAATAGCAAAGAAGGAAAATACTGTGTTTGCCCCCTTGGAAGTTTCAACCTGGTAGTAATAAGTATAAGAGTTTTTTAATATTGTAGTCTGATATGATATACTCAGAGAGGATGAAAGAGCAGAGCAACCCAGCACTGAAAAACTGAAAAACTACTGTATGAGCTGAAATGTGATTAATAATTAGGATGATAAGAAGTAATACAGTCTGTGAGATCAACTTCATTTGGTCAGAGGTAAAAAGAAAATAGCACTCTGCTTTATTCTTTGTAAGATATCCACCACTTCATTTTCCTACCCTAGTCTCGTTCAAATAAATAAGACAAATGGTTTACAGTGTGTACAAACTTTGAAAACATACTCTCTGAAAAAATATCAGATTAAAAAAGACCCTCGTGTGGTGTGATTTTATTTACCTGAATGCACAAAATAAAATGTAGATTAAGTGTTGTGAAGAAACGGGGGAGGGTGAATGGAGAAGAAATGTTAATGGGTATTGGGATGCTTCTGGAAGTGACAAAAATGCCCAGGCAGCAGATTGTTCTGATGGCTTCAAAAGTGTGATATACTAAAAACCCGTGAATTAAATACATTTGAACAGGACTTTCATGGTAAGTGAATGGGTCTCAACAAACTTGTTACAAAAAAAAAGACTATAATTTAGGTTCTAGTAAACATTACACAATAATTTATTAAAATAACAATTAACAAAAGTATGCAATCAGAGTGGTTATTTCATTTATAACCATAAATTACATTCCATGAAGTTACAATGAGCTCACAGGCTCTCACACAGAGATCTGTTTCCTCACATAAGGTCTCAGGACACTATTTACCTCATTTATGGAAGGTCACAATAAATAATCGTGAAACGAAATTTTCATCTGGAACCTAAGCAAAAGAAAGGCCTCAGAGGGGAAGAAAAGGAGGAAGGAGGAAAACCATAGATAAGCGAACCTTGATAAACATCAAAGAAACTCACAGCTCCATTCTCATAATCCAGAAACACCCCAACCCGACCCTGAGGCCTTTGCACATAATGAACTATATGTGGACTGCTGGTGGAGAGACTATACTGATTGCTACTCTTTGAGGAAATTAAAAAGAACATTTCATCAGAATCAATAATGATACTGGTATCTGCTGTCCTGGAATCTTTGCAGACTCCCAGAATCCAGTTGGAAGAGCCGGTCACATCCAGTTCCCAGTAATGCCTGCCGGAGGAGAATGCTTGAGCTCCCCACATGGCAAAGCTCTCCACTCCCGGGGGATCCACGGGTGCACTGCGATGGTCATCTCCAAATATCACTTGTCTCACATCCTCAGAAAGGCTCATGTAGCAGGGCGTCATTTCTCTATTCAGAGCATTATGCACTGCCGAGGAAAAAATACAGTATCAGTGAGGGCTATGAGAGGCAGAGGCTCTGTGGTCCGTTTATTCACTTCATTTGATCTTCTTCCAAGAAAATACAGAATAAAAGAAGCCAGGAGAATTCAGCCCCATACATCTATGAAGATGAAATATTACTACAACTCCACAGCACATACAATTATGTATTATTCTTTAAATAACAGAGAAAAAATGTGACAGTACCACTGGGTAAAGTAATGATTCAATAGATAGACATCTCTGCATAGTTTGTTTCAGGACATATCTAAAATGTTTCTTTTTTTCTTTAGCAGAAAAATCTTCTCGTATTATTTGTCTTTAAGATCATCAATAGGTAGACATCACTTTGTTGTGATGTATTTATTGGAATGTAAATTATCAAATATTTGGTAGAAATTAACACATGTAAAGTAGAAATTTCTGAAAAGAATATTCTGGCTTTACATTATCCGTTTAGCCCCTGATTCACTCCTGCCCTCTGCTACCTAGACCTGTTCTCTAGAATGGGCCTAACATAGTTAGGCCATGTTCACAGATCCCTCACTTTTCAGTTGTTGTGAGATGTATCTGATGGCATTGCAACTGTCCTGATTATGGGTATTATAGTCATTTTCTTTGTTGATCAAAACGTCCTGATTTTATAAATAATAAAGGCCACTTGTAGAATGCATATAAATGTACTTAGAATAGAACCAATTAAAAGCCACTATGCCAAATCTAAGCCTTCAAAATGGAATTATAATGAATAAACATGAAATACTGATGCCACCATGAGAACTAGTGTCTTCATAGCTACGTGACCTGAATATTCTTTGTCCTCTTATTCTGCAGATACAGTATGTATCTTGTTTCACATTTTTTTCAAACTTTAAGTCATGAAATTGAGTTTTGATCATTGTAATATTACTATGCAGGTAGAGAAGATGCAAATGTTTTAGAAAACTGTGTATTATCTACATGTCAAAAATCATAAGACTTAAAAGGGAAAAGCCTCAACCAAGGGACACAATAAGGAAAGAAGATAAGGCTGGACTGCCAAGCAGGGGCTCTTACCTGTGAAGTTGTTGAGCATGTTTAGGACTCCAGTTATGCCCCATGAAGTAAGCTCTGGGTTCACCAGCTGGGGCTTTTGCATGTGTGCCAAATCAGTACTGAAAAAAAAAAAAATGGCCTCAGATATACTTTCAAGCCCAGAGCTAATTGCACATTCATGCAAAGATATCGTATTTTCATAGAAGATGTTTCCTCAGAATTCTGCCAGTTTTGGTTAACTGGGTGTACATTCCATTCCATTCTCTTGGGGCCATAAGGATGTTACTTTTTCTAAATTTCACTCACATAAAAACTCAATTTCTCCAGACATATTCTTCTCAGACAGTACACAACTACTAAAGGCATTAAAAGTCATTGCGTATCTCTGTCCATCAGACCCCCTGAGAATATTCAGAAATCATGGAAATATTTCAGAGAGCAGAAAACTCAGACCAAAACCTTTGGGACCTCACTAATGCTAATCTGCATCTAACAGAGAATGTTCCATGAGACACAGGACTTTAATCTTTTGTGCAAAACAAAGGAGTCTAATTCCAGCCTGAGAACCCTGCTGCTGAGAGTCCTGAGGCAATCATTTTCCCGAGGTCTTTCCTACAACTGGATGAATTGTGATGGAGCAGGTCCCGGTCATTGATGCTTTTGGGAACTAACCTCGCTCCTCAGCCCATCCTTAGGAAATCTCCCCGCTACCTCTGTCTTTCTTCCCTCCCAGCCCTCTAGAGTAGAAGACAATGCTATGATTCCTCAGAGTAACTTTTTATAGAGATCTGTGGGTTGGGGCTGGACAGGATGGATGGATGACAAATTGTTTTTAAGTATATTTGAATTCATACGAATTTGAAGATGAAAACTTTCCAGGCCAAAGAGGAAAAGACCTCGGGGCCTATTTTGAAACAAAATCAAAAATAGCCACTGAGGATAATGTTAGTAGCTCAAAATGTATACATACACTTCATTAACAAGAGAATTACCTTTTTTGAAATAACATTATTTCAGTGCAAACTCACCTTGCCAATACATTTCCCATATTCTGCAAAGAAATAAAGATAATGTTAATTATGAAAGTATATTCCTTCTACATGTTTTCCCATATTCGTTTCTTTTTGTTTCGGTGTTTTAAGAATGCATATTTCTTATTCCCCTCTAAGGAATCATTCCAGGCTACGTAAATAATAGAACCTCAACTAAGCCATGAAAGGCTTCATCAGTGGACCTTAAGAGGAAAGGAGCTCAGCCAGAGATTGTGGAGTCAAGCAAGGATATCTGCATTTCCAGTGGCATTAATTTTCTAATCTTATTCCCAAGGAAAGGTCAGACCACATGCAACAGCTATTAAAACGAAACAGAGAACCATAATAGAAACAGAGTACACTGACATTGATGAGCAGCTTTTACAAACCTTGCCTAGGCAAGGGGAAAAGCCTCAATGTCTTCAGCAAATCACTGTTGTATGGGACATCAGAGAGTGAGGAGGATAAATAATACAATAAATAAATAATAAATGGAGTATTAGTAGCCTTCCCATGGCCCAGAGTTCCGCTGACTTTGGATAACGTCTCTGTGTGGATAGTACTACTTATTTTACTAAAGAGAAGTTTTTCAGATGTTATCTGCTACAACGGCAAGAACTTCCCAAAGATTACCAAAGTATGCAGTAATAAATGACTGGACAAATGCAATCGTGGGCGTCAGGGAGCATGTGCCACTTAGCTGACAGTAGTGACGTATGCAGGTGGCACTTCCACGTCCGGGCAGCATTGCCCAGCAAAGGCTTCCTGTCTCTGAAGATGCGCCCCCCCCTCCTCACCTGGGGCAGCTCTGTGTCAGGCATGTGGCACATCTCCCACAGCTCTCTGTACTTGTCTTTCATCCTTCCTAAATGCTCGGCAATTCTCACTTGACTGCTTTGCAGTTGTTGGAAAAGCTCTTTTCCTTCTCTGTCCAGTGCTTGCAGATGAAGTCGTTCCTCCTCTTCAAGAAATTCATGCATCTTTAGATATTGAATCTTGATTATTGCCTTCCTTAAATTCACATAATTCTGCAGAGACATTTGGTTAAAAGGATTAATGTTGTCACTCTCACAGAAAATGGCAAATAATTATATTCTGGGTATAATCAAGCAGTTTGATAAGTTTTCTGCCTCACTCTTGCAAAGAGTCTTGAGTAGTTACTATTTATTCTGTCCATTTTTTTCCAGTGTCCCTATTCTCTCTCCCTGTTTAAATCAAAACCTACATAAAGACTCCTAGTTTCTCTCCCTGTCATGCTTCTTCACAGTTCTTACCAAGTCAGTGATTTCCCTGATTAATCGTCTGCCTTTTAGGTTTTTTCCAAGCTTGATTCGCCTGAATGTTAAAAAAGCCTTTAGCCTTACATTATATTATGCAGATGGATTTTTTAACTATATTTTTCTTCTATATACTATTATATTTCCTTCCTCTTCCTCACACTCAACCTTAGTAAAATGTTGTCTCTTTTCCAGTGTCTGAAAAGGTTGATACCAACTTTCAAATTTGAGCTAGGATCCATAACATACCATTTAGCCAATATACTAAAATTATTTGGCTAGCTTGTGTGGGCTTCTCTGTTTGTGATTATTATTATATCAGTTGAAATCACCACATTTTTGTGGGATGAAATCACTATCTTTTAAGTGGTAATTTGAATTTAGCTAAAAATTATAAGCCAATATTGTGTTTATTTGCATAAAAACAAAAGGAACCATTTTCATTCTTACCTCTATTGAATGAGTTTTGCGAATTTCCTGATTTAGATCGTTTTGTGTTCCTTGATTGATTTTCCATAAATAGTCCATTTCCTTTATGAGTTTCTCCTGCAAAATAAACAGGAAGCTTAGAAATAATGAAGACAGTATAGTAGATTTCATCTTCTTACCTAAAAAAGAAAGGCTGTAGTTGAAAGAATCATAAATTTTAGAGTAGAGTGGTCAGAATTTTCCATGTTAGACAAATTTGGTTCTAACGATTTCGAAGTGAAAAGTGATAGAAACATAATAGAGAGTTGTAAGGGACCCTTCAGATAATAGCATCAATTTTTTGAGAAACTGGCTTTTATATCAACTGACTTTGAAAAGTGTTTTGGTGTTGGTCACCTCCTACCTACTCCATTCCACACATTTGAACAATGTTTCTAAGGAAACCTTTTTTAGTGAAGGCTCAAGGCAGCTTATGATTAGAGTGTCAGATTACTCAGCAACACTGAAAGGACACATTTCTGTCTTATGATTGACATGCAGTAATCACCACCTCCACCATCGGCATTCTCATCACCACCAATATCATAGGCCCTCATCTTTGTGATTTAAGTTTCTGTAGATTTCAAACTACCTTAGAGGTGTCACGTACCCTGCATTCTTCCGCATCCCATCCTATTGGGCTGTGGCTGTGAGCCAGGTGCTCCAGTGACTCAGAGCTGGGCCTACACAGTCTCTTTTTAGCCCCACCAAAGAGCTCCTTGGTCTCTTCATGTTGTACACAGATCTTGTCTGAGCTGTCGATGTTTCTCTGAGCTCTGGTCTGTCTGGCAAGAGACGCCAGCTTCTTGAGGGCCACATTGGTTTTGAAGTCGGACTTCTCTGATACTTCTCTGCAGGCAGGACAACGCATTGGTGCTTTGCCTTCTTCCCAGCAGAGGAAGAGGCAGGGCCTGCAAAAGTTGTGCCCACAGGCAATGGTGACCGGGTCTATGAAGTAGTCCAGGCAAATGGTGCAAGTGACCTCATTCTGGAAGGCTTGCTGGCTGGCTGAATCCATGTCTCTGAAAATTACAAAAAAAAGAAAAAATCTGAGAATTTCTCTCTTATTTTATTTGTATTTGCCATGACGATAGGGAAAATAAGGCCAGTAGACAATTTCCTTGGTCTACTTGAGCTCTGTCCAATCTATTCAAAAACATAGCTCCAGCACAAACTGAGACATAGTAAATGCAAACATGCTGGATTTATGAAGTTATTCCTCCATAGCCATTAAAGATCGGGTTCAGGGCTCCCTGAGGTACCAAAATCCTAAGATGTTCAGGTCTCTTATTAGAAAATGGTGTAGGATTTGCATGTAACCTAAACCTAGCCTCCTGAATACTTTATCTCTAGATGACTTTGAATGCCTAATACAATGTAAATGCTGTATAAATATCTGTAATGCCATACTCTTCAGAAACAGCAAGAAGACTGTTAAAAAATATGTACATGTTTAGCTGGGCGCAGTCGCTCAATCCTCTAATCCCGGCACTTTGGGAGCCCAAGGTGGGTGGATCAAGAGGTCCATCCTAGCTAACACGGTGAAACCCAATCTCTACTAAAAATACAAAGAATTAGCAGGGTGTGGTGGCACATGCCTGTAGTCTCAACTACTTGGAGGTTGAGGCAGGAGAATCTCTTGAACCCAGGAGGCAGAGGTTGCAGTGGGCCAAGATCTAGCCACTGCACTCCAGCATGGGCAACAGAGGAAAACTCTGTCTTAAAAAAAAAAAAAAAAAAAAAAAAAAAAAAAAAATTCCAAAAAAAACATGTTCAGTACAGCCGCTTTTTCTTCCTGTAAATCTTTTTTATGAGATTAGTTGAATCCATGGATATAAAACCCATTAATATAAAGATTCAACTGTGATTAAAATGAAAAAATGAGAGGAAAGTCCTCATGGTATTATTGTTAAACAAGCCGTGCTCTCAATTATTCCCAATTACTTAGACACGCTTAAATCCGGGGAAGAGGGTAAAAGTGGGGATGATTCCTGAGTCACCTATATAAGCTGATTAACAAAGAAGCACATTCTGAATCTCTTCCTGTCGCTGTTATTCTCTCTCTCTCAAGGATTCCATGGTGATCATATACAAAGACACTTAGTATCTCTGCTATTATTCTATACTCCATGCCTCCAAACTCACCCATGAAGTCTTCTTAGACAATTACAAATGAAGTAGATTTTATCTAAGATTGATTAATCAATCAAAGTGGACTTCAACTGTCAACTCCTAAAAGTATCATTTGTCGAATTTGTCTTTAATAGCAGAACTCTTCCTTTCAATATAGTTAATGCAAATAATATCTATCTATTTAGAAAATTTGTTTCCATAGTCAATTCACATTATCAGAGACAACACTTTCACATCCTGAAATAGTGAGCATTTAAATTATAATAGCAAGAATTACACGGTGAAACCCCATCTACTAAAAACACAAAAATTAGCTGGGCGTGGTGGCGCGCGCCTCTAGTCCAAGCTACTCGGAAGGCTGAGGCAGGAGAATTGCTTGAACCTGGGAGGTGGAGGTTGCAGTGAGCCGAGATCGCGCCACTGCCCTCCAGCCTGACGCCTGGCGACGGAACAAGACACTGACTCAAAATAATAATAATAATGATCATCATCATCATCATCATCTAAAATAACAAAAAGTGAAGATATGTATTAGGTTTTCTGCTCTAAACTAGAAACTCCAGAAATGCAGTTAATGGAAGCATGGCCACCAATTCACCTTTCCCCGTAGTGATGGGGAGGCGCAGTCTCTTGGGACCCCTTACCAGTTGGTTAGATCTATTTTCTTTCTTTTTGTAGCTATTGTTGAGACAGAGTCTCACTCTGTCACCCAGGCTGGAGTGCAGTAACACAATCTCAGCTTACTGCAACCTCCTCCTTCCACGTTCAAGCAATTCTCCTGCCTCAGCTTTCCGAGTAGCTAGTATTACAGGCGCCGGCGACCATGCCAGGATAATTTTTTGTGTGTTTTCAGTAGAGATGGGGTTTCACCATGTTGGCCAGACTAGTTTCTAACTCCTTGCCTCAAAAGATCTGCCGGCCTCAGCCTCCCAAAATGCTAGGACTACAAGCATGAGCTGGCACGTTAGGCTGATTACATTTATTTTCAACAGCTTTCAAGAGTAGTCTGCAAACTGAAAATTGTGAAGAGACAGCAAATAGGACTTTTGCAACTAGAATATTCAAAGCAATTCAACATTTTTAAGTTTTGCTGTGCTGTATATTATAGCTATTACTATATACCCACATTTTAGTGAACATTTTAGGTATTTGATGGGTTCTATCATTGCACGAAACTGTGCAGAGATATCTTTTCACATTTAAAAAAATCTAACAGTACAGAAAATAGTCACATAAAAAAATCAAATAACAAGGGAACACAAACCGTATGTTACAAACTGAATATACTTGATTTTGATTCGATGTAAAATCGCTAGGACAGCTGCTTGTTTGCTTAGAAAATACTCAAGCATGCTGACAGGTAAATTTAAAGTATTTTTAAGAGAAAAAACAAACATGATGGGTTTACTGTAAATTTGAGACTCACAAATCTACTGCAAACAGTCAATTTCTAGAAGCTCTGTCGATATCCAGATTAGAAGTAACTCCTGGTGCTTGAAAGCCCAGCAGCCGCAAATCCAGTGGATCCTCACTGAAGGAGAAGCTTCTGGACAAGCATCCTTTTATAGTGCATGGGCCCTCCCAAGACCACACCCACTTCCTGAAATTGTTTAGGTGGCACAGAAAGGGGTAAATTGGCTGATTAAATTTATAAAGGACAGAAAACCACACCTGGGGGCTGAAAGCTCTACAGACAAGTTTGGAATGAGATACCAGAAAGAAGTTGACTTAACACAGATTGTTCAAAGAAATATTTTAAGTCAAATAATTATTTCATTAAATGTTTTTATTTTTCACATGCTAACTTTTTTTTTTCTTTTTTTCTTTTTTTTTTTTTTTTTGAGACGGTGTCTCACTCTGTCACTCAATTTGGAGTGCAATGCTTTATCTTGGCTCACTGAAACCTCCAACCACTGGGTTCAAGTGATTCTCTCGCCTTAGTCTCCCAAGTAGCTGAGATTACAGGTGCCTGCCATTATGCCCAACTAATTTTTGGATTTTTAGTAGAGAAGGGGTTTCACCATGTTTGCCAGGCTGCTCTGGAACTCCTGACCTCAGGTCACGACCCTCTCTCCTCGGCCTCCCAAAGTGCTGGGATTACAGGTGTGAGCCACCATGCCTGGCTGCATGCTAACTTTTAAAATGTTATTTCTTACTCTGAGTTTTAAAATTTTAATTGCTTAAGTGTCAAGTCGTTATTTATCTGAATATGTCCAAAAATAAAACATTAACTGGGATTACCAACACATCTGTACTGTGTAAGTCTCCTGTTAAAAAAACTGTATCAAGGAATTCAATTGTGTTTCACATAGTTGTATATATAATGGTCGGTGAAATTAGTTGTATCAACCTTTTTTCTTATTTTTACTATTTCATGACTATGTCATAATGATTGTTTTATATAAAAATGACATGCTTTTTCGATTCATACACCTTTTTACATAATTTTAAAGCAGATACTTTACATATATGTGTACATAAATGTATACAACAATGTATGTATTCATACTTTAAAAATTAGGTAATAATTATTCACACAATAATAATTATTTAATAATTATATAATAATGATAATTATATAATTGTTATTATTACTGTTTTTTGAGATAGAGTCTCCCTCTGTCACTCAGGATGGAGTGCAATGGCATGATTTTGGTTCACTGCAACATCTACCTCCCGGATTCAAGCAATTCGCCTGCCTCAGCCTCCCAAGTAGCTGGAATTACAGGTGTCTGCCACTGCACCTGGCTAGAGCTTTCTAGACTTTCTCTGCTGCTCAAGCTGGGATAAGCAGTGCCAGTTAACATAGGAGGGAATCCTATGTCCCACAGTTGCTGACAGACCCTGGAAGCCTTCATCTGGAGCATGAGGAGCAGGAGAAATATCCCTTCTGGAGTGGAAGCCAAGAGTGTCCTTAAATTCTTACATCACAATGAAAGTGAATCAGCTAGAGGCTTTGGCTCACGCCTGTAATCGTAACAGTTTTGTAGGTCAAGGCAGGCGGGTTACTTAAGGTCAGGCGTTCCAGACGAATCTGCCCAACATGGTGAAACCCCCTCTCTTCTAAAAATGCCAAAAAGTTAGCTAGGCGTGGCAGGGGGCACCTGTAATCCAGCGACTTGGCAGGCTGAGGCAGGAGAATTGCTTGAACCTGCGAGTCGGAGGTAGCAGTGAGCTGAGATCACTTCACTACACCCCAGCCTGGGCGACAGAGCAAGAATCCCACCCCCCGCCAAAAAAAAAAAAAAAAATCTGATCGGAAGAAACCTAATCATCTATGTCAACACCCACCTACGCCGGTGAAATCCAACCAATTAGAGGAAAGGGGTGTGGCGTTCACAGATGTATAAAAGGACACTTCAGGAGCCAAGCTCGTTCTACTCCAGAACCCACAGAGTGGTCTTGGAGACTTCCAAAAGCTACTGGCACTGCACCGTGAGACCCTGATCCCTGAGCTAAACTCATCTGATTCGACAGCAAGCTTTGCTGAGAGCATAGATCGATTTCTGAGGTAAGCACACAATTTCCTGAGTAGGAGCTACTGTTAGGTTACAAAACAAAACAAACAAAATTTGGGAACTTGCATTTATGTGCAAACTTAGATTTTCTGAGATGACATGATCTCATTTTCTGATTTTCACAAATGGCTCCATTTCTCTCTCAAAATTATTTTGAACGTGATCCACAGGTTTACAAGCTCCTTTTATTTAACCTATTTACGAATTAAACATTTCTGTCATGTCTCTTGCTACATGATCCTCAGATTAATGTTATGATTAATTTTTTACCTAATGTATTTCTTAGTTGTTTTAAAGATTGTAAGCATTTTGCAGTAGTTTCCAAATATCTGGTAATTTTAAAATCTCTGTGGACTCTGTAAATGGGTTAGGGGTATTGCAATGTGTGTGTATAAATGTGTTACATTCTATTCTACCAGTGGTAATGTGCCTGTGTTACACTGTGTGGCTATACATAGATAACTGCATTCAATGGTTTGGGCAAACATTTTTTTCTAAAACATAGTAAAAGTCTCTTCAGAAACCTCAGTTACTCTGTCAAAGAAAGCCAGAAATGAGTATTTATGGAGAAAAGTGACATTGGCATTCATGCGGAAACAACAGAAATGGAGAGTCTGTATAGCTATACAGTGTAGAAACCATGATTTAGGTTTTCCACTTCTTCGGTTTTTCTGCTTTAGACAGGATCACCCAGGCTGGAGTGCAGTGGTGGAAATAAAGCTCACTACTGCCTCTACTTCCTACTTCAAGCAATTCTTCAGCCTCATCCCCCAAAGTAGCTGGGACTGTAGGCATGTGCAAACATGTTGGGCTGTGTGTGTGTATGTGCCTGTGTGTTTAGAGACAGGCTGATCTAGACATTTTGTCATGTTGCCCAGTCTATAACTCCTGAGCTCAAAAAATTTGCCTAACTTGGCCTCCCAAAATGCTGGGATTACAGGCTTGAGCTACCTTGCCTGGCCTAGGTTTATTTATTTATTTATTTCAAACATCCTTTTAAAACACTGACTCTCTAGTGCCTATTATTATTGCATGATACTTAGTATTTTTCTGACTATGTGAAAGAGTAATGCTAATGCTTCCAAAGAGCTTAGAAAATATTTCTATCCTCTGTTTACATGTCTACATTTTATCAATATATCCCCAAACAGTCCAGGAATAGTAAACATGCCAGAAAGGTTTTGTTGATCAAATTAACGTTGCAGCCTAGAAAAACAATGACTTTTTTTCTTTCACCTGGAAGAAGTACCTGTACCTTGATGTGTCTGTTTTACTTTGGAGAGTAAAGGCTAGCTTTTTCCGATTTTGGTCAAAGTATGAGTTCTGCTCTAACATTTTCAAGCAGGGGGCCTCTGTAAAAGTCATGATGGATAGTTAAACAAAACAATGAGAGTAAAACAGTTTAGTTAGCTTCCCCTCTCTAAACCAATCACTGGCAATTTAGAATGGGATTGATTTTCAGACCATTAAAGACTCACCCCTTGAGTTTATAGGTTAATGAAACCCTTGAAACCCAAGCAATTTTGTGGACACTAACATCGTAAAAAATCTGACATTCTTCTATGCAAAAAAATCAGGGTTTGGGAAGCTGGTTGTGTGTTCACTGGAGAACAATCACATTTTTCTACAGAGGTTGATGTCTCTTAGTGCCTGAGTTTTTGATTTTTTCTATTTCTGTCTTTGCAAATTAAAGCTTAATCTTTTCTAGAAAAAAAGGATGTTATTCAATCAAAACATGATTCAAACTTTGCTTGGATCTTTGTCTCTCCAGGGTAGAAGACTAAATTGTTGTGGTTTTCTTCCCTTAGGAAAATGGACTCAGACTTTCCACTGGCCTTCAAGAAGGAACTCACCTGTGCCATTTGCCTGGACTACCTGGTAGACCCTGTCACCATAGGCTGTGGGCACAGCTTCTGTAGACCCTGTCTCTGCCTTTCCTGGGAAGGAGACCGAAATCCTGCCAATTGCCCTGCATGCGGGGAACCATCACACCAAAAGGACTTCAAAACTGATATTCTTCTGAAGAATTTAGTGACCATTGCCAGAAAAGCCTGTCTCTGGCAGTTCCTGAGCTCTGAGAAACAAATATGTGGGACCCACAGAGAAATAAAGAAGATGTTCTGTGACACGGACAAGAGCCTGCTCTGCTCGCTGTGCTGTGACTCTCAGAAGCACAGGGCTCACAAACACTGTCCCATTGAAGGGGCAGCTGAAGAATGCCGGGTAAGAGATAGCTGTGACATCACCTGAAAGCTGGTGGCAAATAGATGAGAAGGAAGATGATAATCATCATTGTGATCACTCCATTCTTTCTTTCTTTTTTCTTTCTTTCTTTTTTTTTTTTTTTTTTTTTTGAGGCGGAGTTTCGCTCTTGTTATCCAGGCTGGAGTGCAGTGGCGCAATCTCTGCTCACCGCAGCCTCCACCTCCTGGGTTCAGGCAATTCTCCTGCCTCAGCCTCCCAAGTAGCTGGGACTACAGGCGTGCACCACCATGCCCAGCTAATTTTTTTTTTTTTTTGTATTTTTAGTAGAGACGGGGTTTCTCCATGTTGACCAGGATGGTCTCGATCTCTTGACCTTGTGATCCACCCGCCTTGGCCTCCCAAAGTGCTGGGATTACAGGCTTGAGTCACCGTGCCCGGCCTTTTTATTTTTATTTTTTTTAAATATATTTTATTGCATTTTAGGTTTGGGGGTACATGTGAAAAACTTGCAGGATTGTTGCATAGGTACATACGTGGCAATGTGGTTTGCTGTGTGGAGAAATAGGAATACTCTTACAGTGTTGGTGGGAGTGTAAATTAGTTCAACCATTGTGGAAGACAGTGTGGCCATTCCTCAAGGACCTAGAAATAGAAATTCCATTTGACCCAGCAATCCCATTACTGGGTATATATCCAAAGGATTATAAATCGTTCTATTATAAGGACAATTGCACACGAATGTTCATTGCAGCACTGTTTACAATAGCAAAGACTCGGATCACTCCATTCTTTACTCAGTGCCAGGTGCTTTTGGAGGTACTAGTGATGACAGTTTGAATACAATATGAAACTATACCTTCATGGCGCTTGCACCCAAAAAGAGGGTGATTAAGTAAATGTCATCATTATTTTGACTCTACAGTGTAATGCTAAAAGCAGTGAAAAGCTAGCAAAACTACAAGTGCAATGAAATGTATTTTGGACATGTATTTAGTATTACTCGACAAACAAGGGCATAGTACACTACAAAAGCTGGGGGCTAGCGTAGTGGATTCCGAAGCAGGATGTTTCACTGATCATTATCTGGGTTACAAGAAATCGTCACTTAGCAGCTGCTGAAACAGTTATACATGCTGAAATCTCAGAATGGAAAAGTGTTAATTGAGGACAAGCAGTGATAAATTTTGTTTTTCCGTTTTCCTCTCTCTAGTGCATTTATATATTGTATCCCTTGCCTGCATATACCACTCAGAGTGTGGAATCTATGGTATTTGATTTTCTGTTGTTCACCCTCATATTTCTTTTGTAGGAGAAGCTCTTAAAGCAAATGAGGATTTTATGGGAAAAGATTCAAGAAAATCAGAGAAATCTAAATGAGGAGAGAAAAAGAATCACCCTCTGGAGGGTAAGTATGAGATTATGTATCCTCAGGACGTGCTTGAGACAGACATGCTGACAACAGTTATATTAGCAACTTGCGTTGAAATTCCCATATGCCAGATTTTGTCATGTGTTCATCCATAGGCTGGAAAACAGCCTGCCTGTTCAATATAACAATTGTTCACGTGTTGTAGAAATGTTTTTCATGTAAGTAAAAAATAAATATAAATTCTGAAAGGCAAGTATGTGCTTAAAATTAACAGGTGTTTCAGGCAGAGTTTTCTGTGTGAGATGAATTATGTAATATTGAGTAAATAGTATATAATTGAGAAATAGACATTTAACGGTGAATATGATGTTGCTCCTAGGTAAGGCAGTGGGTGGGAACAGTAATTTAAGAAAAATGCCTCTGCTGGTGAAATCTGATAGCGAAGGTCCCAGACCACAATGCCAGTTCAAGTAGGAGAAAACGTAACAAGATGAAAAGCTTCGGAGAAGGGACAATGATGACTGGGGGGAGTGAGAGAATAAATATGTCAATATTGGGAGGAGAAACACAGTGGAATAGGGATTCACGGTGATAGAATGGCAGGGCAATACAGAGCCTGCGGATTTAAACAGAGGAAAGAGAGGAGGCAGAAAAAAGGTAGTTTCAGAGATGAGGGTTAAAATGTTTACTAAGATCTTTTTTTGTGTGGCGGCTTCTGATCCTGATTGTAAATTACTAACAACATTTCTACTGAGAGTTTAGGCTGTGAAGTACAAAGATTTGAGGCCACAAAAGCTAATTGAGTAATAAAGATTATATATATTATTGATGACAATTTAACAATCAATCAAAAATTTATGTATTTTCTAGTAGTATTTCAGATTTGAAATAACATATATTTAAACAAGTAAATCTAAAGGGTTTTTTTGCAGGTTTTCAAGAAGTAATGAATTAGATAAATTTTGGAGAAAAGGTCTTGTTTAACTCATCATGTGGTTTGTAAAGAATAAAAAACAGCTGAAGGAAAGAGCAGGATGAATTTGTGGGTTCTGTGAGGTGGAAGTAGACCTGGGTATGTAACCTACAAAATTCATGTCCCTGCAGGGCTATGTGTATGTCCGGGCACTGATGACCAGGGATGAGTATAGAAAGCAACATCCAGTTCTCCATAAGGAAGAAAAACAACATTTAGAGAGACTGTACAAGGCACACAAAGAGATATTTCCGCAACTCCGGAGAAGTTGGATCGACAAGTATCAAAAGAAGAAACACTTGAAAGAAATGTATCAGGAACTAATGGAAATGTGTCATAAACCAGATGTGGAGCTGCTCCAGGTAAGAACTGAGGCTGTCTCTTGAGACACTTTGTATTAGCTGATATTTGCATCTTTGCCTTCCATTGGGTACCAAAGACATATTTCTTTGTGTCCTCCATTGATGGTAAGAGTCATTCTCACCTGGTTATAGTGATAAATTACAACTCCTAACCTAATCATGAAAACAAACCGTTTATGGAACTGTACAAATAGATTTCCATTGAACCTTCTTTACCTCAAGCTTTCTTCTCCAGTTCATTTCATTTAAACTGTTGAAGAAAAAAATTTCATGTGAAAATTCTATTTTTGTCTCCATGGCATAATACCTAGAAATTACGGGAAAACTAACATTTCTTTCTTTCTCCTATTGGGGAGTCCTAGGTTTGAAATGTCCTTGATTTGAGGCACATTAGCCTTTGGAGACTGGCCCTGAAAAAGAACGCAGGGTAGACAGCTGCAGCAATGCCCAGTCACCACTCACATCTTTCTCTCTCATTCAAATTCAGGGTCCTGAAGTTAGCAGAAATACATTTTATGAATAGGTTTTACTAGTATGAATGTTGGAGATGTGAATACATTTAAAAAGAGCTGCAGTGGTAGTATGTGGTACTTCTAAAGTTTTCAAAACCTAAAGCCTAGATGGGCAGGATAACAAGTTGTTTGTTATCTGTTTGTTTGTTTTGAGAAAGAGTGTTGTTCTGTCACCCAGGCTGAAGTGCTGTGGCACAATCTAGACTAACTGCAACCTCTGTCTCCTGGGTGCAAGCGATTATCCTGCCTTAGTCTCTTGAGTAGCTGGGACTACAGGCGTGCACCATGATGCCCAGCTGATTTTATTTGTATTTTTAGTAGAGATGGGGTTTTACCATGTTGGCCAGGCTACTCTGGAACACATTATCTCAGGCGATCCACCCATCTTGACCCCCAAAAGTGCTGGAATTACAGGTGTGAGCCACCACACCCGGTCAGAATAACAACTTTCTAAAATCTTTTTTTCTCTCTCTTTACAGGATTTGGGAGACATCATGACAAGGTATGTTTTGGCCATCATGGTAAGCTGAAGCACAAGGCATGCTATGAAAAACATCAAGCTGTTTCCAACAAAGTGAAAACATGCTTTATTAAGGGCATAATGTGTCAGTGTGACTTTGTGTGTATGTTTGTGTAGTCATGTGTTTGTTTGTTATGTTGCATATGTTAGCCTATGCCCTCTGTCAGACGTTAATCTTTCTTACTTTCCCGAGTAACTCGGGGTAATGTTTCAAAGAGTTCAATGCAGAAGTTGCTGGAATATAGTTGCCTATTTTTAGGATTCAGAATCATAATTAGAGACAAACTATTTGGTGGCATGTAGGGAGAGAGGCAATTATCTTTCAGTGGCAGGACAGAAATGGAGTGAATCGTTAGAAAATTTCCCTAAGAGAGCCACAAACCCATCCTAGCATGGTGGAGTTACATTAAAATATCAGAAGTGGGTTTGAATGAAGGGTTTTCTGTTGGAAATGCTTAAACACAGAAACCAGAACGGTTAACCAACTGCACCTGCTTCCTTGCAGGAGCGAGTCCGTGCTGCTGAGCATGCCCCAGCCTGTGAATCCAGAGCTCACTGCAGGGCCCATCACTGGACTGGTGCACAGGCTCAACCGCTTCCGAGGTGAGTGTCACCCTCTTGCTGGGACCAACATGTATATCTTCAGTTATGGTTTTCTATGGGCAGCTTTCCCAGTGTAATGATCTTTCATCTAGAAGAAGAGAATCGTCTGTGAAAAGTCTTTATAGTTAAAGTTTCACTATCATCAAACAGACAAAATTAAATGAAAGCTGGTGAAATGTAATAGGAATCAGCCATATAACAAATGACTTAGAAAAATTAAACATGCAGAAGGGCTCCTTAGGACTTAGAACCATTCTCTGATACAATTTCATGTATACAAGTATTACATGAGGTATGCAGGACTGAGTTAATTCAAGACATTTCAATTTCAAATTGAGTGCCACTAATGATTGTGATTTGGGTGACGGTGTTTATTTTTAAGTACATTTCAGGTGAAGTTTCATAGCATTTGTAATTTTAATCATGTGCATTTAAATCAACTAAAACATACATGAATAACTTACATAACAGTGCAAAAACTGAGGCGCCATGAACAATAGGAAAGTGATTTGGTGGGTGATGAGGCCTTAGATAGAACTCCAGGGTAGATCATGATCAATCAGGCAGATAAAAGAAGTCTGTGCCTGAATGTGGCGTGAAAGCCAGATAATTCTTACAAGGAATCTACACTTTTCATTAGGCGGATTCAGATTTTCTCTTTAGGTGTGAATTTGCTAGCATAAGTGGCAGATCATAATATTTCTGGCAAAGTGATAACTTTGTTATTTAGGTTTAAGAATGGCTTCCCACCTCATCTCCTGTCCCCAACCTGCTGCTCTGCCCTGACAGAGAAGAGGCATGGACATAAATTTTATTGCTATGGACTTGGCTGCAGTGCAAGATCTTTTAGTTTTTCAGTTGTTAAAAAATGTAGCTAACTAGACATAGGGGTGACCGTCCTCCTCTTCACAGTCTTTGAATTTATAAAAATAGAGATCATTGTAGTTTAGCCACTTATTTGTGCAGATATCCTAACACCCTTTGATTCCAACATTTTTCCAGACAAAAGTTGCCTTTTAATCATGACCTGTGTTTTCTAGTGAGAGTCTCTTTCTTATCTGAACTGCTTTTCACTGGAACATTCTCTTTTTTCTACAGTGGAAATTTCCTTCGATTATGAAGTAAGCAATCACATTATCAGGCTGTTTGATGATGTGAGAAGCTGGATGAGTAGAGCTAACCGGGAAGGTAGATCTTTGAATTCTGACAGACCTGACTACTTTGCTGCATGGGGAGCCCGGGACTTCTCCTCTGGGAAACACTACTGGGAGCTGGATGTGGATGACTCTTGGGACTGGGCTCTGGGAGTCTGCAAGGACTCCTGGATAAGGAAGAATGGCACCATGATTACATCTGAGGACATATTTCTTCTTATATGTGTGAAGGTGGATCATCATTTCCGTCTCTTGACCACCTCTCCAATGCTTCCTCACTATGTAGAGAAGCCTCTGGGCCGGGTTGGTGTGTTTCTGGATTTTGAGAGTGGAAGTGTGAGTTTTTTGAATGTCGCCAAGAGTTCCCTCATATGGAGCTACCCGGCTGGCTCCTTAAATTTCCCTGTCAGGCCTTTCTTTTACACTGGCCACAGATGATCAGGATGAAGAAACTGACTGTTTGGGAACTGCATGTACAAGGGAGCCCTTCACTGTTGAGGCAAAGGAATCATACTGTTCAGGCTTTTTTTCTGCTTTAGTGTTACCTCATTTCATTGCTATTAAATAAAAAATATGTAAAATGCAAAACATTATTGCACGCTTTCTTACAATTAAAATAATCTCTTATGGCCCATTACCTGAAACATATATTGTGGTTTTCCACTGTTTTGGGAATTTATTGGATGGAATTCTGGAAATATGTGGGTGCATGACTCAGACTTAATGATCTCATGCAGGAACACAATTTGCACATCATGGACAGACAGGAGTTCATAAAATGCACTTGTAAGCGAGAGAGCTCCCTCCTACTGATACAGTAAGTTCTACATCTCATTATCTCAGGGGGACAAATTCATTTTACACAGAAGTTTTCACTGACTCTTTGGGCCAGAATAGGGATTTAACAGTCATGTGTCCTATGGCGACAAAAAGACACTATTAGGCGATTTGATCACTATGTGAACATGAGAGTGAACTTACAAAAACCTAGATAGAATATCCATCTACAGACATAGGCTAAATGGTACAGCTATTGCTTCTCTGAGAACTTGTTTGCAATGTCTGAGCAACAACCAAAAGTGTTTAGCCCACATTGACTTCTGTAGCTGTTTAACAAATCAAACCCAGGGAAAAATAGATGAGCAGACTGTCTGCTTTTACATGTGTTTATACTTCCAATTCACAGATTGTGAATTCTCACTGATAACCTAGACCTGAGTCACAGAATGGCCCATTGGAGATGAATTTTAAAGGGAACGTACGAGGAGCTGAAGGAAATGGGCCATAACCAAGAGGTGGAGCTACTCCTGGTACTGACTGACCATGGGGTATCAGGATGTTGAACATTCACATGCACAGGTGTTTTTCCCCTCTCCTGAAATGCATTCTTCACTTTGTTTCCATGATTTGTTTCCAGAAACACATTTCCATAACTAATCCTACTTCGTGGATGTAGTCCCTCCAGGGAATTTTACCAGAACAAAAGTTCCTCTTACTTTATCCACCAGTGACAAAACTTTATGAAATGGCCAAGGTATCAGCCCCAACAAATATTCCCCATCTAAAGTCAATAATATATTTTGTTTTTTCGAATATTTGTAAAATAACGAGTGATTCATTTATATCAGGTTAATTTGGACACATGGCAATATTGGAGGTTTTGGGAATCTAAATATTATTTTTCATCCACTCTCTTTCGTAATAGGGTCTTGGGAAGATGACTGAGTAGATTCTTCATGGTTACTGTGGAAAACAGGCTCTCTGGGCCTTTTCTCCCTTCACTTGTATAAAGAATGTCTTCAAAACTCAGACTTTACCAGGATAATAATTAATGACACTATGATAGACTAGGTTTTTCATTACAGAAGAAATCTAAAATGCTTTCCAGAAGGGAAAATAATATTTTCATAAGCTGTCTCCAGATCTCACACCGAACTTAGTGGAAGATTCGTCCTATAGAAAGCACAAAGTCTTTCTTTCTTGCTTGCTTGCTTTCTTTCTTTTTTAACAGGTGTTTGGAGACATATTACACAAGTGAGTGTATAGCTAGATTTTGGCAATTTTACATGACATATGCAAAGAAAGTGTTTGAAAAAAGGGGAGAAGGAAACACTAAAATAAACAAATATATAAACAAAAAAAGAATGAAAGAAAACAATCATCTCAGTTTATTTATTTATTTATTTTTCTGAGACTGAGTCTTGCTCTGTGACACTCAGAGCGACAGTAATAAACTGTGGTCCAAAGGTAATCAGGCAGATTTAACCTGAGATACAGAGAAACTAGCCTACAAAGAAAGGAAACTTTGATTATAAAGTTTTGCACCAGGCTGGAGTGCAATGGCAGGTTCGCGGCTTACTGCAACCTCCGCCTCCCATGTTCAAGTGATTTTCCTGTCTCAGCTTCCCGAGTAACTGAGAGTACAGGCACAAGCCAAAATGCCTGGTTAATCTTTGCACTTTTAGTGGAGATGGGGGTTTCACTATCTTGGCCAGGCTGGTCTTGAACCCCCGACCTCTTGATCCACCAGCCTCAGCCTCCCAAAGTGCTGGGATTACAGGCATATGCCATTGTGCCTGGCCTGATTTTTTTTTTTATATATATACACTTCTAAATCCTGGATAGGTGAAAGACAAAATGTTTTCTGGATAATGAGAAAGTCACCAGAGGAAGCAGCAGGAAAGAGAATGGGAAAGTATTTTAGAACTGAAAAAGCGTTGATGATTTGTTGTTCATATATACAGGTATACACACACACACACTCACACACATACATACACACACATACGCATATATATAATCAGTTGATGTTCTGAAAAATAGATTAAACAAACAGTAAAGTGTTAGAACCCTGGAAGTCCCTAGGGAAGCTTGACGCTAAGGAACAAGAGCACACCAACAGGCACCAGCAGATGCAGCAAGTCATCAATGGTGGAGTGACATGGAATTCAGCTGAGAGCAGTTGGAGTTGAGCCCTGCTGCTGAGAGGTTGTACTTCAGGGGAAGAGCATCTTCCCACTCCACCCTTCTCTGCCACCCCACTTATCTGCCAAAAGCTACTTTCTCCACATATTCTTGCACATATTCTCCAAGCCCACCTACGGTTGGAGTTTTCTGGTACAACAGGGCAATAATCCCAGAATACAGAAAGCCCTCTGTCATTGCAATAAGGCAGAGGGTCTAATTTAGCTGGTTAATGCAATCCACCTGTCGACAGCTAAGCTAAAAGAGCACACTGCAACACAAGCACAGGGGTCCTTTTATTTTATAATAGTATAAATTCTAAAATTTAAAGAAAGGTCTCTTTTATTAACTACTATATTCCAGGAAAGATAACATTTAATAAGGTAATACAATGTCTAGGACATAACAAAAATGTAACAAATATTTGAATAATTAAACTAAAAAATGCATAAGGGATTTGAAAGTTTTGCTATTAAAGATAGCGGCATTCATTCAATGGTTTCCATTTTTTAGGATTTCAGGTTGATGTGAAAACTAGTTAAATTCTAGAAGCTTATTTTAAACCTCATCAATTTTTCCTTTGTTTAGAAAGTTTCATACGTGTGTAGGGAGGCAGGGAGTACAGAGGGTGTATTAGCACAGAAGCCTAATGTGTGGGCGTGGGTGATAAAATCATGGCAGTTATGCATTATTTATTATTTTTATTTTATATATACATATATATGTTTATATACATAGAGATAGATAAATAAAAATTTTAAAATAGAGACAAGGTCTCACTATGTTACCCAGGCTGGACTGGAACCTGGGCTCAAAGGATCCTCTCCCTTCAACCTATGGCACAGCCAGAAATATGGGAGCTGGCCACCATGCCTGGCTCTTTGTTTCATTTTAATTTAATTTAAGGTCATCCCCCAGGCCATGAGAGAAGAGATGGGAGGACAGAAGAAGAAAATGCTGACATGTACCCCCTACTTGGTATTCTCATTTCACTATCATACAATATCCCCTTATTTTTGTTTTAATTATTACTCTGCCACCACTAATTATACATTTACTAGTATATTTCCACTATCAAATATACTTCTTGACTATACTTTAGAAATTGACAAATGCTTGTTAATAGAAAAAGAAAGCCTAAAGCCTGGTCAACATCGCTGTCTTCCGTACCTGGGTAAGACTGTTGCTGTGGGGCCTTGAGCAAGTTTCCTCAAAATAGGAAGCTAAACTAGACTTTCAAGATGGGGCTTATACACCAGATCAAACTGAGTATTAGCCAACAAAGGGACCAGGCAGAAGCAGCTTTCCATAAGACACACCAACCATTGTGCCATGTAAGGTTACCATTGCCATGGCAACACCCAGGAGTTATCATCCACTGCCAAAGCAATGAACTGACAACCCCAATGTGATTAGTCCTTCGCTAGAAATTTCTGCATAAACTGCCCCTTAATCTACATGCAATTGAAAGTAGGTGTAAGCCATGACTGAAAAACAGCTGTGAGCTGCTAATCTCTGCCTATGGAGCAGCCCTGCTCTGCGGGAGCAGTCACAAAGCTGTAACATCACCAGAGCTGGAACACTGCTGCTTCAATAAAGCTAGTTACCTCTACCTTTGTCTTGCCCTTGAATTCTTTCCCTAGCAAAGTCAAGAACCCTCAAAGGCTAAGATCCATTTTGAGGCTCACCTGCACTGCTTACTTAAACTGCTCACCTAAATTCCCTTTGCCAAAGTGTCATTTATCAATCCTGGTGATAAGAGCTTACATTTATTGAGCACTTACCATGTGGCATGCATAGGAATATGTTTTAAATGCTTAAAATATAAAAACCTCTATAATCCAACATCTACAATGAAGAAAACTGAACCTTGGACAATTTAGGTGATTTGAGCTAAGGCAACTTGATCTCCCACGTCTCTGCTCTTCATTTTGTGGTGTGTTGAGTCTCCAGTGAAAGGGTGTAGGTAATAGACCAACATTCCAGTGACCATTGGTGAGGGTCAGGTCACATCATGCCACTAAAGACTTTATAATACCAAACACAGAATATTAAATATCTGCTGTCAATATTAAAATATTATTAATAAAATATTTACCACATAAGTTACCGCTGTCACTCCGTCTCATCACTGAAAAATCTGTAACTTTCCTGCTACAACAAGCCCAATCCAGCTTCTCTTTTCTTCTCAGATGGCTTTGCATCTCATCTTGTCAATAAAATGGAGTTGCCGGGCGTGGTGGCTCAAGCCTGTAATCCCAGCACTTTGGGAGGCCGAGGCGGGTGGATCACGAGGTCAAGAGGTCGAGACCATCCTGGTCAACACGGTGAAACCCCGTCTCTACTAAAAATACAAAAAAATCAGCTGGGCATGGTGGCGCGTGCCTGTAATCCCAGCTACTCAGGAGGCTGAGGCAGGAGAACTGCCTGAACCCAGGAGGCGGAGGTTGCGGTGAGCCGAGATCGCGCCATTGCACTCCAGCCTGGGTAACAAGAGCGAAACTCCGTCCCCCCCAAAAAAAATAAATAAATAAAAAATAAAATGGAGTTTATGTAATTTCTTACATTTATGCTCACAACCATTTTTCCTTAACCTTAATAGCACTCTTCATCACTGCATTTCAATTGTTACACAAAAATACAATTTAATTTTTTTATGGCTGGACATGGTGG